ACAAACACAAATCAAACCCATATAGCTTACAAGGCTGAAGCGTGGTGATAGTCGTCTTAGCCACTGAAAAGAATGCAGACAATCCCAAAAGTGTAGCCAAAACCGAACCTCGCTTTTTAAACTTCAAATAATCTCTGACCCTTAGAAACTTTCGGCCAAGCGTTCTTCGACAATAATATGCTTTGTCCAATTACTCCATACCCTGAATTCACTGCACTCCGCAGTAGTAACTTTCTTGCAACAGAAGACCAAAACCTCACAAACAAGTGCTCCTTGAACCATTCCGCTTTCCATCAAAATCTTAATTTTCTCTTGGCAATTAGATTGAACTGAAAGATAAATATTTGCAATTACATTGAATATCAATTTTAAAGATATGTCCAAGGAACTTTGGTTGGTTTCTTTTTTAGCATTTATGCTTCAGTCCATACTTGGGCTTCCATAGCCTTTAGATATATAGCTATTCCTGAAATAAAGTGTACGGAAAATAAAGAATACAGACATAGAGTAATCCTAGGCTTCTTGTATCTCATTACTGAAATTAGTTTCAACAAAGATCCTCTTAACGCAGATTGTTTCTGTCACCGTAGCTTTCCCATCATCAAAACAGTTGTTACTACTAATTGCATAATTTCTGATGCTGCTAAAAATCATGAATTAGAATTCAGCACTGCTGTCCAAAATCACTAAGCAAGAAATAAAGATGCATCTGGTAAACTGAGAATCTGAAATATAATACAGAACTAACATTTTTCTTCCGAAAGAACAAATAGAGGACTACAGAAATAGTGAGGAATTGAACATTTCACTATCAATGCTCAGAAATTTTACATGTCACTGTTTCCACTTCCACTTTGTTACAAATATCATCCATTCTTTCTTCATTCTCTGCTGGAGTCATCGACAATTATGGTTTACATATCTTGAGAATGATAGCTTGATCTTTAGCTCTTGCAGTGTGGAGCGGGCTACAAGACTTTTCCAATAATTCAATTATAAGTCTTGGTCTACTAACTAGAAAACAATAATTTCTAGGCTAATTTCCAATAATTTAATTTGTGTGCACTGATTGTTTTATATAGAAAAATAATATTGAGATAATCTGATTTGAACAGTACAAGTCGCACACCGAAGCAAAAGTGGAAATGATCATAGATGTTGCGAAAGAGAATATAGATGGTTTTAAGATGATAAGGTTGACATATATATGGTTAATGTTATTGCTTGAAATTCAGTACACAATTCTTTTTTGTATTTCCCCTGTTTTTATCTATTTTCTGAGTTAAAGGTTACATTTCTATGACTGCAAATGTTTATGAACTTAAAATTTTGAAGGTAAACAGTTGAACATTATCTCATTATTAACATCTGGTTCTAAGCTAGATCACAAATGTCATTTTCCAAGTGGTGCCAAAGTAATTAATTCTGGAATCTTATTATTGACTGGGATGCTGATGGAGATATGTTATGCAGGAATTAATGTTGTTTAATATTCTTTGTTTTAATTTATAGCTTTTGTTCTTAAGCTCATGCAGTGGGGAACGGGTTACACGACTTCTCCAATAATTTAAACAAAAGTCTTTGTCTACTAACTAGAAACAATAATGTTTTAATAAGAAAATCAACTTTGTAATGCTTCAAGCCATTTTCTCAGTTGTAATTTTCTTATTTGCATTGTATGGTCACTATTGAAATAATGTAATTCAAACAGTAAGTCACAGGCCGAAGCAAAAGTCTAAGTGATCACAGCTGTTGTGAAAGAGAAAATAGATGAATAGATGATAGGTAAATATGTGGTTATTGTTATTCCATTTCATGATGCTCACTTTTGTGGATCAATTTATCGTCGTGCATGAATCTACATAAACCACTTTTTAGGTATGTGTTCTGCCAAAGAGAATACTATGCTTTAGACAGGCGGGCAGACCCCTTTTTCATGGTGATTACAGATGTTTGACATGGATATTATTAATCGTGCAGGTGATAAGAAGAACAAAGGGCAACCTTAATTTGGTTATCAAACGAGATTTTAGTCATTTAATTTTAAATAATTAAGCTTACTTGAAGAAGAAGAAGAAAGTTTGAACAAGATGGTGATAATCTGATGGATGTTACACTTGCCGTGCAGCGTGTAACTTCTGGGTACGTGAAGATTGGGATAGAGTACTCCTCCGGTAATTTAATTAGCATAAAGTCTTGGTCTCACTACAAGAAAACAATAATGTCTCCTTTAAATCTATTCTCTCACTCTCATTCACATACAATTCATTTTAAAAAGAAAAAAACAGAACCTCCTTGATGTCACTTCCTTAGTTGTAATCTCTTATCTCTAGTATATGGTATATATTTATATCATCTTGTTTCTTGATATTTTACTTTTTTTTTTTTTTTTTAAATATTGGAAAACTCTAGTAATTTACACCTAAGAAGTCTTGGTCGACGTTATAGGGTCCAAATATCATGGGATACCATGAGCTTCTCAATCAAATTGGCATGAGGCCATAAATGAAAGAAGACAAGGGACATGGAAATTGATATAGGATTGTGATGGTACGATGATAAAGATTTATGAAATATCATTTACAACTTCCTACGGTTCAGAATTGTTTGAATTCAAAAGTGGGATTTTAGTATTAATTATGGAACAGTTATAGATTGCTTTCAGTCTCATTCAATGAGGACTGATATTCCAGTAGTATCATTGAGAATTTTCTACGATCTCATGGCAGCTGACCAGGGCTCTCTTTTGACGACAAATTACCAACATCTACATTGCCAGTCACTCATATTCTTATAAATTCTCAGTTCTACAAGGATTAATTTTCTATGGTAGTGAGTTGAACATGAACTTATTGCTAGCATCCAAACCATGCTAATTTTAACCATCGAGTGAATGAGATTAACCAATAAAAATCTGTAATTTGAAGAAATTAGCTATTCTGAAAACATACATGAGGAGGATACAAAAGAGTCAAGACTGACATATTATTTAAGGATGTACTACATAGTAATTGATTGCTTGCACTGATTAAACAAAAGAAATTAAAGATGGCTACTATATATTATCAACAGTGCAGAAGATGAAGTGTAGACCTATCAACACAACTTTCCAACCGAATCCATTTCAAGACGCTGCTTCATCCTCTGATGTTGAGACTCGAGAGTGGTTGCTGGGTCTCATCATCATGGGTTTCTTCTAATGGGTCACAATATCAAGACTCTGCTTCATCTGCATCTCTTTCTTCATTTGAATCCTTTAAAAATGGGCTTATGGGCTCTTCACCCCATATGCAGTTTTACTGTTATAATGGGCCTTCTAGGTTTGTTAAAAATAAATATATTTTAATTAAATAAAATTTATTTATATTGCTTCCATTATTGTTATAAACAGTGATAAAACAAAAATTTCAATTATAATAGACCTCGCTTGTTAAACTACAATTTAGTGGGAAAGGGAAAGGCAAAGGGAATTGTAATGGGAATGGGAAAGGTAAAGGGAAGGGGAATGGGAAATGGAATGGGACTGTGAACGGGAAAAGAAAAGGGAAACTAAAAATGGAATTGCAATGGGAATGGGAAAGGGAAGGGGAATTAGAATGGATAGGGAATGGGAACGTAAAAGGGAAAGGGAATTGTAAAGAGAATGGGAATGGGAAGGCAATGGTAACAGTAATGGGAAAGGGAATTGTAATGAGAATGGGAATGGGGATGGGAAACAAAATGGGAAGGGGAAGGTAAATGGGAAAGGGAAGGGTAAGGTGAATGGGAATAGGAATGGAAAAAAGCAATGGTCATGGTAATGGGAAAGGAAATGGGAAAAGCAATGGTTAATGGTAATGGGGGTGGGAGTAGGAAAGGCAATGGTAATGGGAATGGGAATGGGCAAGGGAATGGTAATGGTAATGGGATGGGAAACGGAATGGAAAGGAAATGGTAATGGGAATAGGAAAGGCACTGGAAATGGTAATGGTAATGGGAATGCGAAAAGCAATGGGAATGAGAATGGGGAAGGGAAAAGTAATTGTAATGGGAACGAGAACGAGAACGAGAATGGGAATGGGAATGGAAAAAATTATAGAAAGCATAGACATTTTTGGCAATACTCTGCATCCTCAGGCCGGGACAAAAGATCTATTGAAGAAAATTGGTTCAACCGCAAGCTGCTTTGAATTACTAACTCAAATTTCTTTCCATTTCCAAGCTTCCCTATTTGTTCACAAAACCAGTCCAAGTGCAAATATATCTTACAAGATTCGATTTCACATGATTGAGTTTAACAAGGTCAATGTATATGATTCAGTTTGACAGAGCCAATGATCAACATAATTCTAGAACGTACAAATATAACAGCAAGCTAATAAAAATCAACTTTCGAAGAAAGTTTTAGTCGTGCATTAGTGAACTCAATCAAGTTTTCACCACCATAGTCTTAGTTGTGCACTAGCAAGGACTAGTGAATCAAATTAGTCTTGGTCATGAACTAGTAATAGTAAATCAATTTCTTTGAAAAAAGGGTTATTAGAAGATTTGGGTGTCCAACCTATAATGATAACTTATTATGTTTCTCCGAGAGTTCTGGGGCACACCCAGTAGAGTAGTATGCTTTTAGCCAACTGCTAATCCTTTGACAGCAAAATGTTTATTTGTGTTATTTTTCCCCATTGAGTGAATGAGATTAGCTAAGAATCAGTAATTCATGAGATTATCTAATTTAAAATATACATGAGAAGGATTATTAATGAATGATACTACATAGTCAACTCCGACATTTTATTTAGGGAAGTAGTAAAACATAACAATTGAATGCTTGCACTGAAAGACAACATAAGATAAAAGACAAGAAAAGAAAAAAGTTACTACATATTATCACCAACAAAAGAAAAGAACATTGGTTTTCTAGTTTGCAACTGTACTCAACCAACAGAACTTCTTGGATGCACTAACTTCATCTTCCTCCACGTTTGTTCTTCAGCCTTCTCCCCTTTCTTGGGTATCCTCCTTCAACTATCCTTATAACCCACTAAGGCTTTCCTGTTGAGAACACAAGATATCCCATTGTCACTGATATGAATTTCTTCAACCTCAATTCATATACTACCCCAAAACAACCACTTTTGACTCAACCTAGGCTAGGTTTTCTTCCAACTCCTTATGACCATTCGGCTATCACACTCCATACACCATTCGGCTTTTAATGTTTCCATCATGTAATTTTTGCTAGCGTAAATCCCTAATTTTTGTAAAGTCTATTTAAAGGCCACTTGATCATTTTGTAAAGGGACTTGAATATTGAAGTGAATAGTGCTTTGTCTTGAGAATTGTTTTCTCTTGTTTTCCTTTACCCAAGTTCGGCCAAACTTGGTGGTGGAGTGTCTATCAAGCTGGTGGAGTTTCCTTTAGGCTTGATTAATTCCTTGGTCATCTCTTATGTAAGTTGTTTTCCTTTAGTTTCAAGTTAACTCATTTTTCCGGATTTTGTTTTGCATGGTGTGTATGAATCCATTTGTGGTGCATCTGAACATAAATGACTTTGTGATTGACTGGAGTTTGATATAAGGAGTTGTTTTAAGTTATTTAATGGTTGTAAGTGTGTATGGAGTGTGATAGCCGAATGGTCATAAGGAGTTAGAAGAAAACCTAGCCTAGGTTGAGTCAAAAGTGGTTGTTTTGGGGTAGTATATGAATTGAGGTTGAAGAAATTCATATCAGTCACCCCTAATACCATTCCACATCCATACCATATCAACACCACTTTCCAACCGAATCCACTTGAAGACTCTGCATCATCTTCTAACGTTGAGGGTGGTTGTGGTGTCTCACTGTAAGTACCACATTTTTGTGACAAAGGAAATCCACACAATTCTAAATTCCCATCATATGAATTGTTTGAGAAGGTATCCAAGTGGTTGTCTTGAGGTATGGGTTCGCTAAGATGGTTTTGAGACAAATTTAGAACTTGAAGAAAACTTAAATTTGCCAACTGCCATGGAATTTTCCCAGTAAGCTTATTTGAAGAGAGGTCTAAGGATTCAAGAGCAATCGAATTTCCAAGCGAAGATGGGATACAACCTGATAGATTGTTATGAGAAAGATTGAGAAGACGAAGTGCATGAAGGTTTCCAATCACTCTCGGAATCTCTCCATGGAAGTAATTGTTTGAAAAATCAATGGTGGTGCAAGTAGTGATAACTCTCCCTAGTTGAATTTCATGCCCTTTCCATGTCAAGATAACAGAATCTTGATAATAATCTTCACCCATATATTCCAATTCCCTTTCATCTTCACCGACATCCATCATGGCTTCAAGGTTTTTGAAATACAGAGTAGGCAAAAAATTGCTGAAGCTGTTGTTTGAGAGATCAAAGATTCTCAACTTTGGAAAACACTTGTTTGTCTTGGAACAATCCCGTATAGAACCATAAAACTTATTGGAACAAAGAACCAAAACTCGTAGCTCTAGAAGATTTCCCAACCAATATGGGAATGTATCATTTATCTTCTTGTTTCCAAGATCCAGAACTTCAAATTTTGAACAATTGAGCAAAGATCATGGAACTGGTCCTTCCAACCCATTGTTGTTCAAGTTAAGGGTACTGTAATGATTTCCCTCTGCAAATGTTCCAGGAATGGAGCCATAAAACCTATTCTTCCGCAAATCCAACACACGAAGACTGCTAAAATTTCCCATGCACTCTGGAATTATACCACTTAACCTATTATTTGAAAGATCTAAAATTTCTACCATGCTCATATTACATGTCAAGTGAGGTATCTCCCCAGTCAATTCGTTGTTTGACAGGGAAAATAATCTCAAGTAAGGTGGTAGAATTGGAATTTGTCCTTGGAGCAAGTTGGAATGAAGGTCTAGAAGTTCCAATTTTTTCCATAGAAGTTGCTCCACGCTTGTCAGGTAGTTGTGAGAAAGATTTAACCAGCAAAAACGATCCTGACTAGTGTTCCACATTCAGTCGGGAATTTGACCATGGATTTTATTTGCAAAAAAAGATCCAGCGTATCTAAGAGGTCTAGGTTCTTAAGATACCTGGGAATTTACTTATGTTGCAAGAGGATAATAGCAAAATTTGAAGTTGGGGAAGGATGAATTGGCTATGAATTTCGTGCTCACAGATAAACTATTATGAGAAAGATCAAGGACTCTTAAGGTTTTTATTCTTTGCAAACATGTAAAGCTCTACAATTCCACTTAAATTGTTTGAAGAAAGAGAGATAATTTAGATCAAGCTCAAAGATTGAACTTGGAATTGAGCCAATTAATTGGTTGTCGCTGAGATCCATCTCCTTAAAAAATGGTAGATTAAATAATCAAGATGGTATTGTTTCACTGAGAGAGTTAGAAGATAATGAAATGGCAACTAAATTTTGAAGTCCGCCAGCAGAAGAAGGAATTTGACCAGATAATTGATTCCTTGAGAGGTCTAAATGGGAAAGTGGATGGAAATATCTGGAAATTCACTAACAAGATTTGACAGAAATGATCGGATGTGACCACCGAAGTTGTTACTTGAGAGACTCAAGTAAGTAAGTTGTGTAAGGTTGCCAAGCGACATAGGAATTGACCCCACTATATTGCAGTTAAGGAGACGCAAATGGTACAAAGACATGAGATCGCCGATTGAGTTAGGTAATTCCCCAGACAAACTCATATCAGAAACATCCATAAATTTAAGGGGGCTACTCCAGTTAACATTAGGAAAAGCACCTGTCAAGTTGAGGTTACCACTTAAACTAAGAAACTGCAGATTTGGTGAGCAAAAGATGTGGTCTAGGATGTTCCCCTGTAATCCACAATCATTAAGGCTCAAAGAATTCAGAGAATAAGACAGATTGGTCAAGAAACTAGGTACTATTGTAGACATATCCACAAAATCGAGAAAAAGTTTTGTTAGTTTGGTCAGATTGTGAACTAACCCTTGAAAAACAGTTGTTTCAAGGCTCACGAGGGAATTTACTTCCGAGGAAGATACTTCAAAAAAGAAATCAGATACAGAGAGGTCAAGAGAAACCAAATTAGACAAGTGGGAGATCTCAGTTGGAATTTTACCACTAAAGTTTGAATTGGAGAGGCTGAGGTGCGTCAAACTAGGTAATTGACTGAAATCAGAAGAAACTTGAGAGAGATTGAAATCATTGAAAGCAAGGTTGAGCCTTTGCAGATGATAAAGGAGAAAAACGCTACTGTTGGAAGGAATGTCGCCATGAAGCCACCCACAACTAAGGTCGAGTGCAATTACATGACCAGTTAAATTATCACAAGTGACACCATCCCATGAGCAGCAATCAGTATCCTCTTTCCAAGACATTGTTTTCCGATGAGAAGGACATCTTCCATCACAATATGGTGGGATCTCATTGAAAAAAAAAAGATCTTTCTCTAAACCAATCACAATAGTAGTTGGAAAGAAAATTCTCATAAGAAAAGTGTTGCTTAAATTGGAGCAATGCAATACTCTGGTCATAAGTGCAGAGTGTTGCGGAAGTTTGAGAATTTAAGAGAAATAATTGGAGGAAGAGAAGTTGATAAGTCAATGTTAGGCAACCCATCTTCTTTGCTTGTGAAATCTCAAGAACTGATACTGCTATAAATAGAAGAGAAATGGAGGGTCTGTACATAATAGACTAGATTGATAAATAATAAATAAAGAAAGAAAACAATTTAGCTGTACTCTCTTTCCTCCATTTTAACGTATCTCGAGAGAATTGGTGACAAGACTTCAATAATTTAATTAGAAGTCTTTGTGAAACCCCGTTTTTAATCCTAATACATATTACATATTTTGTGTGATTTTATTTTTATGGAAGGGGATTTCTGTTAGTTTTTAAAAGTTTTATTGGGAATGAAATTTGCAAGAAAAGGAAGCTGTTGGGTTTGCATGTAATAAGGGGCAAAATCTAGAGGTTTATTTGAAAGAAAAGCTGATAGGGGTTTAGCGGGATTACCTGTAATCTAGGGGCAGAAGCATAAATTTAGAAAGATTAAAAATATAAAAAAGAAAGAAAAGGGGCTGATTTTGGCCCAAATGAAGAAGAAGGAGACGAGAGCAGAGGGAGAAAGCGAGAGCAGAGCAGAAAAAGAAAAAGAAAGTAAAAAAAAGGGAGGCTGATTTTCGCCCAGATGAAGAAAAGAAGAAACGAAGAAGAGAGGGAATGGGTGCGGCTGAAAAATGGTAGAGTGAGAGAAGAAGAGTGGAGGAAAGTGCAGGGAGCTTCGGTTGTTAGAATGGTGAGTGGATCTAAACTGTTTTCCTAAAAAAAAAAAAAAAAAAAAAAAAAGACTTAAGCTTATGCCCTGCATGTTGATTCCTCTATATACCGTTCAATTGTTTTTGCAAAAATCCTTATGAGCATGATGTTTGTGAGTGGAATAGTAGAATTTTTCATAAAATCATGTTTTTAGTGAAAATTTCTATGTTTGTGCATAAATGCCTTAACTTCGAATTTATTTCAGTTTTGATATGGTTATATTCATCTTCTGTAAATTATCTTTGGCATGCATGTGAATGATGTTACATATCATGAAATTTGTAAGTAAGTGTGGACATGCATGTAAAATAATATGCCTATACCAATGTTGTTGAATGGAAAGCAGAATTTGTGTTTCTGCCGTTTGATTTGGTTGATGATTGTAATTCCAGCTAATTTTGGTAGGGTGGTTGTTTGGAAATTAATTGGTGGCAGTAATGTTGGAATGAAGGGTATGGAAATTATGGATTTTATATAATTGATTAATTTTGACAAGCATATGTGCATTTTTATGCATATTCACAATGTTTGATAGAAAAGAAATTATAGGAAGTAGTAGTGTGGATAGGGCAGCCGAATTTTGTGTGTTGACTGAAATTTGAGATTAATGCAATAGTTTTATATGGGTAGAGCATATATGTTGATCCTAAAGAACCAAGAGTTATTAAGTATGTTTTTGGTTATAAAAAGTTATGCTGTGAAATTCTGACAGCTTGAACTTCTGAAAATTTTATATATGTTGGGGTTGCAAATGAAGCTAAATTTCAGATATTTTGTTTTAGACTTATTAGAGATTGTTTGAAAATTTATTTCACCCCAAAATTCGAAGTATTGGATTTTTTTTAAAATTTTGAATTCTGCTATGAAATTCTGGAATTTCATGTTTTCTGTAGAGCATGCATTTTTAAGAACTGAAATAATGCACTTATACTTATCCAAATTGAGTTGTTTAAATTCTGGTGAACTATATGTGTCTAGTTTAATTCTGGAGAGTTTTATGAGGTTTAGATTAAGGGCTGAATTCTTATGAATTTTAAAAGCAGTAACCTCAATTCTGGAAACAGTTGGCAGATTTAAATGAGTTGAAAGAAAATTGTATTTTAAATAGTTATGATTCTGAAAGACTTGAAAATTACTGGATCAACATTATTTGTCTTGAATGCCCCATTGAAATTATAGCTTGATTTGGTGAGTGGATTAAACCAAATCTTCTTCCAAATCCTTAAATCCATGCTTGCATGTTAAATTGTGATTTATTTTAAATGTTTTGATGAAGTTTGGTATATAGAATTTATATGTATTCATGCTATATGAATAAAATGTTGCTGTTGAGAGTAGAGAATTGGTGTGAAATGTATACGGGTTGAGGTTCGTGATGTTGGTAGATGGTTTCTGGTAAAAAGAAAAAGAGAAGGGGTGCATTCTGTCAGTTTTGAAAGTATGTTTAAAACTTGCATTCTACCCCATTTTGCATGGAATTTCATACGTTTTGGCATGATTTGCTTTATATGAAATGTGGTATATATCTTATGATTAGTGTCGGACACATGCTACGGTAAAGTGATGTTAAAGGTAATTTTTAATCTAGGTTAAACTGTTAGTTTTAAAACATGTTTGGAAATTTCAATTTCACCCCTGGATGTGTTTTTGAATATTATGTCATATATGTATGATTATAAGCACTTACGAATATGCTCTTGATTACATGTTAATGATTATGCATGAGATTGTTATGGTGCTAAAAACCCTACGAAGTACCCATCCCCAGTTTTAGGCTCTTGCCCCGCGATGCAGGATTCCGCTGGGTATTGAGATATTGGTCTTCAGGCTCGCGCATGCGTATTGAGAGACTTAGTGCTTGCCTGGGCATTGAGCTTGTCCGCCAGGTATTGAGATGGTTTTCTTCAGGCTCTGCCCGAGCGATGATAGATCTTGCGGGTATGAGATGTTTTTCCAGCTCTGCTGTGTGTGGGATGCCCACCAGGTATCGAGATTTTTCCCCAGGGTACTAGTTGCGGTGAGGGTTTTCTGTTATAATATCATAATCAGTTTTAGAATGTTCAAAATCACATTCAGTTTGAGTATCAGTTAATAGTTTCGTTTTCAGTATATGATGGATAGTTTGCATTAGTTATATGAAACATTTGATGTTGTAGCATGATTATAGAAAACATTGTCTTAGAAGCATGAGCATTTACAGCATTCTTTAAGTTCTCATAAAAGAGTTTTCAATATTTAGTGATGAGCTAGGATTTCAGAAATTGTTGTCAGTTTAATTGATCAGATTATAATACTTAGAACAATTAGAAATGAGTTATGCATGCATACATGGATGATTAGCTGCACCATAAAAGAATGTTCATGGAATCATGTTGTTTTCTGTATTTTATAAGAACCATTGCATGCCATAATTTTGTTTGAAGAATGTTTTGCAAACTCTCCCTAACCCCCACTCAACGAGTATTTCAGCTCCACCTTTTTAGACCTTTTTCCTAGGTCACAGGAAGAGCTGTGCTAAGGAGTGATCTTCTCGAGGTTGGGCCCTTACGTCATCGACTCATCATGTGTGTAAAAATGTCATGCTTGTTACCGCTACGAATTAGTTTTATCCTTGTTTATCTCCTGTGTTGATTATAAAAGATATGAATATCTGACACCATCCATTTTGGATTTTATGAACGTACAAGTTAGCTTTCAGATTTTCAAATGTATATATATATATATATATAATATATATATATATATAATATATTATATATATATATATCTTATGTGTTTATGCTTTCAAAACGAGTCCAAGCGAATGTTTTTATGAAAAACGTATTTAGAATACAGGGTTTTAGATTCCCACACGGCACGTCTCGGCCGCCCGAGTCTCATAGGTGCGCCCGAAGCTTATGGGGTAGGGAGTCGAGGCGGGCCGTGTCAGTCTTGGTCTACAATATTCTCTATATAAATTGTTTACCCCAAGAGTATTGTGAAACTAACATGGGAAGTCATGGAACATGCTTTCATCATAATGTGAAACCACCAAGAAAACGTTCTGTAATTTTTCAAATTGAATATCAAGGATGACATTTGATGATTACAGATTTAGAAATTAAAGGATTCGCAATGTTGGATTATATGTAAAGCAGAGTGGAAGATTGAGTGGTTGTTACGGCTACGGCCCTGCATTGCAAGAAAACAGTGCATCTCACGAGAGAAGGGCATTCTGCTTTGATTTGCTTTGCAAGGGGATTCTATCATAACAATCTCTAATTAATGGAGATTGAGCTATGCCTCAGCATGTAAGGCATACACTAATTTTTATTTTGTTTAAAACTGTTAGAAAATTTCTTAGAAACGTGAGCTGGTTAGATGTATAAGTCAGTTACGTACTAAGAATATGACCATTTACATATGTAAGAATGATAACTTGTTCTTTAACTCTTGCAGTGTGGAACGGGCTACAAAACTTCTCCAATAATTTAATTAAATATTTTCCAAGATTGGAATTGTCATTTTCCTAGTGGTGCCAAAGCAACTAGAATATAGAATCCTATTACTAAACTTCATTGAGTTTCGTACTAAACTTCATTGAATCAAAAGAAACAATAAGTGGGGTTCTCCTGCCTCACAAAGTGGCGGAGAGACTTGAATCTGTGGCTAACCCGCGTCAAAAAGCAAATGCTTTTTCTCAGTCTTACACTATTTCATGATTGATCAGTCTTAGTCTTGGTCTTCGCTATATATGATTCATGGAAATATCATTCAGAACTCAAAACAATCATGTACCAACCCACCAAAGCCTCCTTTTTATTTCCCAATAACCAGAAAAAAGAAAAAGAAAAAACAATTAATGTCTGTGTTTAATGAAATAATGAAAATTAATTTTACTTTATAAAAGAATTGTTTTTTTTGGGCACTAAGAGTTGTTGCAATAGTTGAACACGGTTAATGAATAAACTTTTCAGAATAATATTATACATATTGGGAATTCAATTATTTTGGAAGAAAATAAACAGAAGAAACTAAAGCATGGCTTAAGTAAAGTAGTGCGCTGATATTCCCAGTGGAGTATTAATGGCAGTTGGCTAACAATGTTTTACTGATTTCAGAGTTTCTCAACTTAAATATTTTTTATCTTAATGACAGAAATAAAGTTAATGTATCTAGAGGAGGGATTGTGATATATGATGCAATGATAAGATTTATGGATATCATTGACAACTTCTTATGCTCCACAACCAGGCAATGTGGGATCCGATAGATACGGTTATAAGTAGAAGACAAATAGGGAGTCAAGGTTAGGTATAGCATCTCGCAGTATAGTCACTAGAGGTGGAACAAATGGGCCGGGTTAGGCGGGTCAACCCTCACCCGGTCCGCATTAGAGAAGGTTTAACCCAGACCGCCTTATAGGCGGGCCGAGTTGAACCCAACCCACATGCAACCCCCGGGCGGGTCGGGTTGCTATATGGCAACCTGCCAACCCGGCGGATTGGCTATTGTAAAAACAAATAGCAACCCGTCGGGTTGGCAAAAAAAATAAAAATAAAAATAAAAAATTAATTATTTTTTTCAAGTTTCTCCCATTTTTTTAATTCTTTTAATTAAACTATTATGATTGAATTCTTACAAATAATTTTACACAATAATATTAAACTATACTTCTAAATCATTAATATTAAAATGTATAAAACTTCATAATATTTGACACATTGTTATTATTATTTTTTATGGTACGTAAAATATAACGTAAAATATAAAAAAAATTAAATACTGAAGTCTTATTCTTAAATTTCCATGTCTTGTATAAAATGTAATTCATTCTTATGCTAAAATTTCATCAATTGAATGAGTAAATCTAATTTTTCTTATATTACAATTTTATTGTATTAAAATTGAATTAATATTTGAAATGTTAATAAAAAAAATTAATTTAATTGAATTATTGATATTTGAAAAGTTAACTAAAAACAATTACATTTATTCATTTATAAATCGTTAATTATTTATTTGAAAAGTTAACTAAATAAAACAAAAACAAAAAAAATCAAAAAATAGGGTTAACCCGGCCCAACCCGCAGCCTAACCCGACTGGTTAGGGTTGGCAGGCCGGGTTGGGCTAGCCATTACCCCAAAAATGGCAGGCCTAACCCGGCCTACCTTTGTTGGCAGGCGGGTTAGGAACAACCTGCCAAAAGAAGTAACCCGCCGCGGGCCGGACAAGTTACTTTTCCACCTCTAATAGTCACACTATTTACAAGGAAACAAAGTTGAAACAAAAGAAAAAAGAAACTGCAGAAAATTGTTGTGAGAGATTAGAAGTAAAGATGAAATTAATGTCTGTCTAAATAACAAGAAGAAGGTAACTAGGTAAGTCTTGGTCATGCATTAGTGGGGTGTATAGTGAACTCCATCAACTTTTGGTCACCAAAGTCTTGGTCATGCACTAGCGAGGACTAGTGCATCAAATTAGTCTTGGTCATGCACTGGTAATAGTAAATCAAATTATTAAAAAAAAGGGTTATTAGAAGATTTGGGTGTCCAACCTATAATGATAACTTATTATGTTTCTTAGTAAAAGGTAACTTGTTTCTCAAAGGGTTCTGGGGCACACCCAGTAGAGTATGCTTTTGGCCAACTGTTATTCCTGTGACAACAAAATGCTTATGAATGTAACATTTGAAGATAATGAGTTGAACCCTTTTAGTGTCACCATCACGAAATTGTGACAATAATTTTCACCCATATATTTCAATTTCCTTTCATCTGCACCAACATCCATCATGGCTTCAAGGTTTTTGAAATACCGAGCAGACAAAAAATCGATGAAGCTGTTGTTTGAGAGATCAAAGATTCTCAACTTTGGAAAGCACTTGTTTGTCTTGGAACAATCCCATATAGAACCATAAAACTTATTGGAATGAAGAACCAAAACTCGTAGCTCTAGAAGATTTCCCAACCAATATGGGAATGTATCATTTATCTTGTTGTTTCCAAGATCCAGAACTTCAAGTTTTGAACAATTGAGCAAAGATCGTGGAACTGGTCCTTCCAACCCATTGTCGTTCAAGTTAAGGATCCTGTAATGATTTCTCTCCGCAAATGTTCCAAGAATGGAGCCATAAAACCTATTCTTCCGCAAATCCAACACATGAAGACTGCTAAAATTTCCCATGCACTCTGGAATTATACCACTTAACATATTATTTGAAAGATCTAAAATTTCTACATAGCTCATATTACAGGTCAAGTGAGGTATCTCCCCAGTCAATTCGTCCTTTCATAGCAAAAATAATCTCAAGTAAGGCGGTGGAATTAGAATTGGTCCCTGGAGCAAGTTGGAATGAAGGTCTAGAAATTCCAAATTTTCCCATGGAAGTTGCTCTATGCTTGTCAGGTAGTTGTGGGAGAAAGACTTAACCAGTGCAAACTATCCTGACTAATGTTCCACATCCAGTTGGGAATTTGACCCTAGATTTTATTTTCAGAAAGATCTAGCATAACCAGATGGTCTAGGCTTCTTAAGATACTTGGGAATTCACTTATGTTGCAAGAGGATAACCCCAAAACATAAAGTTGTGGGAAGGATGAATTAGCTATGAATTTGGTACTCACAGATAAACTGTTATGAGAAAGATAAAGACACTTCAGGTTTTTAAGCTTTGAAAACATGTGAAAATCTACACTGCCACTTATAATGTTCGAAGAAAGTGAAAGAAAAGATAGATTCACAAGTTCAAAAATTGAGGTTGGAATTGTGCCTTGCAATCTATTACAATCTAAATGAATTGACCTCCAATGAACGACACGGAAACTCATCAATGCAACCGCTTAATTGATTAAAACTGAAGTCCATGAACTTCAACAGTGGCAGACTGAATAACCAAGATGGCATAGTACCATTAAGAGAGTTACTACATAAATCAATAAATTCTAAACTTGGAGGCCCACTTACATGACAAGAAATCGGACCATCTAGTCCATTATTTGACAAATCTAATGAAGAAAGTTGTTTCAGGTTGAAAAGAATATCAGGAATTGGACCAACCAATTGATTACTTAAGATATCTAATGAAGAAAGTTGTGTTAGGTTGGCAAAAAAACTTGGAATATTACCAGTGAAATTATTCCGTAAAAGATGTAACTCACGAAGCTTGTCAAGAAGTGAAAGAGATGATGGAATGTGTCCAAATGAGTAAGTTGTGAAAGATTGCCAAATGATGCAGGAATTGATCCAACAAGATTGCAATTATGAAGAATTAAATGGCTCAAAGAGATGAGATTGCTGAATGAATTAGGTAATTCTCTAGGTAAACTCATGTCAGAGACGTACAAAAACTTAAGGGGGCTACTCCAGTTAACTTTGGAAAATTACCGGTCAAGTTATAGTTACTTGTCAAATTAAATATCTCGAGATTTGGCAATCGGAAGATGTGATCTGGGAAACTCCCTTGCAATCTGCAATTCGGAGACTCAGAGAAATCAGAGATGAAGATAGATTCATCAGAGAACTGGGTACTATGCTGGACATGTCAACTGTATCAAGGGAAAGGTCTATCAACATGGTCAGTTTTGTACTAGCCTCTTCAAAACAGGTGTTTCAATTCTCACGCGACTATTCTCATCCTCCGGGTAGTAATAATTGTATGAGAGGTCAAGTGAAACCAATTTAGACAAATGGGAGATTTCAGATGGAATTTGACCATTAAAGTTTGAGCAGGAAAGATTAAGGTGTGTCAAACTGGGAAACAAACCAAAATTAGAAGAAATTTGAGAGAGATGGAAATCATTGAAAGCTAGATAGAGCCTTTGACAATTGAGGAGGGAAAAAGAGGGTAATGTTGGAAAGGATGTTGCCAGAAAGCCAGGTACTGCTAAGGTCGAGGGCAATCACATGACCCGTCACTGAATCACATTTGACTTCATCCCAAAAGCAACAATCATCATCCTCTTTCCAAGACATCATTTTTGGATAAGAAGGATTTGTATAAAATTCACACCGCATTACAGAAGAAGTGTTTTTGAAGGAAAAGAGTTGCTTGAAGTGAAGTAATGCAGAACTCATTATAAGAGCAGAGTGTTGCACTAGTTTGAGAATAGAAGAGCAATGATTTGAGGAAGAGAAGTTGAAAAGACCCTGTTAGATAACCCATATTTTCTGATGAAATCACAAGAACAGATATGATATAAATAGAAACGAATCCTGACAAAAATTGGCCCGTTCCCTTCTAACTACATTTGACTCCAAAAATTAACGTGACAAAAGAATTCTACTCAGATCTAGCGTTAATCAATTCACAAGTGAATTAGCAAGCAGCAGTGTCACAGGACTGGCATATTAAGTTTTCTCATATAGAGATTTTCATCATCCAACTAACATGTGGCCTTAAATGGAGAAAAACTAGGTGTGAAATTAATAAATCAACGGCTACCTACGTTTGAGGAGAATTAACTGAAATTTAAAGATTGGTTATATCTATAATTATGATACTCAACTATCCTGGCTAACAATTTTTGACTGATTTCAGAGTTTCTTAACCTAAATATTAATTTTCCCACATTTAATTCACTAGAAGATTAGTATGCAGGACATAACTTATTTTGCTCGGAAAGATTCTAAATCCTACCCACATGAGGCCTTGAATTGAATAAGATAAGGATTAAGGGACGTGGAAATTGATTTAGGATTGTGATATATGCTACGATGAAAAGATTTATTGATATGATTCACAATTTCTTATGCTTCAGGATGGATTTGTGCATTAATTATGAAATGGTTAAATATTGCATTCTGTCACATTCAATGAGGAGGACTGCAATAATTTACTACCAAGTCCTGGTCTTTCTTTAATTCCAAGAAATACCAGTAAGAATTTTCTATACTCCCATGGCAGCCAACCAAGGCTGTCTTAGTGTCTAGTATCAAGTTCTACATTGCATGTCGCACATATTCTTATTAGATTAAAAGTTCTGCAAAGATTATTATTAAACTTTCCCAACAGATACAGAAGGAATAATACTAAATATATTTTTTATGACGCATGAGTTTGTACATGAAGAGTCAGTGTACAGACTACAGAGTGTGTATACATAGTTATCACTCTTCTAAAATATATAGAACTTCAAACTTTTCCGGGAAACAGGACATAGCTCTTGCAATCGCTAACTTTTAGTTTTCTATATATTATAGAAATTCTAACCATCAAAATGTTAAATCTCCTATATTCCAAGTTCTTTTCTAAACTTATTGTTCAAGCTAAGGTACTTAAAATCCAACAAAAGAAACAGATGTTTATCAATGACCATCTGAACCAGAAAATTGCTATATTAAGATATGTTTGCTCAAAATCAATTTCTTGGTTGTAATCTCTACTATATAGTTTAAACTTGGATTCACCAACGCTTTATGCAGTCCACTTTCCCAGGGTTGATGTTTGTGATTGATGAGATAATAATAGCTCCATATTGTCGGCTGTACTCTGCCTTTCAGGACTTCGTTCTGATATCATGCCATTGATTCTTGATTATTAATATGAAGTTTGGAATCAGTTTCTTTCAGAGAAGAGATTTGTTGATCATAATCAAACCCTTAGTTAATTCTCTTTAATAATTTTACAAACCCTTTTTCATATATATAGTCCTGTTTCCAAGGCCTGGAATGGGTGAAACAACAGCAACGATGAGATAACTGTTGGTTTTTAGAGCTGGAGAATAGGAAGGAAAGAGGGCCAAAACAGACGTGAGAGAGAGCTGTAGAGAGAGAAAATCTGAACTGAAATTTTGCTCTGTTTTGCATTCAAAAAACAGAGGTAATTTATACACAAAGTCGGTCCACTGTATCACCTACTGCAGTGGATATTTTACAAGTTTGAATTTAAACTAAACACATACAACTAATACAAGTACAAGCATTTCAAATACGTTCCTTAATCAAAGTTGAATTCACCTAAACACATCACTAATGAACGTCACAAAAGTCTTTCAAACAGTGACCAAAAACCTGCAGCTTCACGCACAGCAACATTTCAAACCGTGGCGCCAAAATCTTGCAACTCCCACCGTCTGTTGACTTCATCATTTCCAGCAAGATATCATCATCTTCAACAATAACAATAAGTTGTTTCTAATCCCTATTTATTATTCAATTAATAAATTGCTCTACAACAAATTCTTTATCTGCCAAATGAAATTACAAAACATCATCTCCATCTTCATACAAGCAATCATTCAATTCAGAGAACTCAAGTCACTTGAGTCTTCAATGAGTTGTTTTGCTTGAACAAGAGTCTCTCTAAACCTCTCTACATTAATCTTCAAATTCTGTTCATCAATATACACAGCCCTGGCAGCTTGGTAGCCCTTGGCTAATATAGATTGAGGATCAGTAACAACTACATGATCTTTCCCATAAGTCTGAAAAAGAGTGCTTTCTTCTGGTTCAATCTTGTACTCCAAGTATTTCACACCCATTTCTCTTGCTGGTTCACCAAAGTAGTTAGTTGAAGCCCAGTCCAACCCAAGTGGCACCACCTGCACGGCGACCGCACCCTCTGGCAAAAACACTTCATTTGTCATGCCAGCACCATGAGCTCCCACCAGGACACTACATGAGTTCAGTAGCTCAGAAAACTTGTTCAAATTTGACATCCTGTTAGGCCTTGTCACCACAACTTCAAATCCCAATTCCTCCATCATAACTACCATTTCATCTTCATTTACAAACCTTCTTGTCTTTGCCCTGGATATCAAAATCAGAACTGGCTTTTCTCTCTTTATTTCAAAAACATTTCTGTGTTTCAGATTGTATGTTTGTGCTAGAAAGTGCTTGAAGTCAAACATTGAGTACCCGCCTGGAATATCAGTTCTATTAAGGGCTAAAAGGCCATGGAATTTGAGGCCTATCACAGCTCCAGGAAAGCAATGAACACTACCATTTATGCCGGATTTATGAGTCATACCCGCGACAAACCGGCTTAAAATTCTGCTGTATTTGTTCACCCACCAGCCTATATCGGTGATGACAAACTTTAGGTTGTCGAAAAATGGCGCGAAGTGATGAACAAGGAATGATAGTTCATCCATTTCATGAAACAAGTTTCCTGTAAGCCTCCGGAGGAGAAAACTAAAACTGGGACATTGTGATTGAAATTACAGCAGGTAAATTAGTTTCTTCATTAACTAGCACTGATGTAACAGGTGCAATGGATTTGTAGTTGGATATGGCTTGAATTCTTCGGCTAATTTGAGATTGCGAAGAGGGAATGTAAACTGTCAAGTTCTTGTTGTCATCCAACTTCTTTGTTTGCAATACATAATTCAGAGTAAAGGTCAGAGTGGCAAGCAAATCCTGTTGTATCAACTGAATCCGGTCGTCGCCTGTATGCAGATTCAAACACTTAGCCAAAGAAAAAACATTCAGTCAGATGAAGAAATGAAGTACCTCTAACAAGTCTTCTTAATGGAAAATCAAAAGAGTAATTTGCTAAAATCTTCACGATCAGACATTTTGCTGCTGAGACTACTTCCAACCTGTAGCTTCCCTTCACAAATTAATGACTCTAAAATCAGCCATTAGTTAACAAACAATATGCTCAGCAATGAAAATGATGAAACTTACAGGCCTCAAAAGGGGTCCAATCTGAAGAGAAAACTGAAGCATAAAGCCAAGCAAGAAGAGGAAAAGCCATTGAAGAGCTTGCACAAAGCACAAGCCTATTTTGCTCCTTACCCATTATTGATTGATGAAACTAATCCAAATTAATCAACTTTGTAGCGTTTATTAGCAAGATTAAATTGATTAGCTCTTGTTTGCGTGAACATTTGTAATTATTCTTTAAAATTTATTCAAGATTTTGACATGGACATCCCAGCTGTATTGATGAGTCATTTTCTGGTGAGTTTTCATGAGAAATCATTTGTATGAATTATTTATTTATCGGTTGTTGGGATTTGATTCTTAATTGCTAACAATTCAATTCAAACTTATCAGCAGCCTCTTCTACAGCTTCATCGTCCTCTGGTGGCCTTATATAAGCGTTTGAGACTTCTTTTATTTGGACTTTATTTTGCCCATATGACCTTTATTTTATTTGGTTGTTAAGAGTCAAAACACAAACCTTTTTTTTTTTATGTTCATTTCTGTAGAGACGTAGTTGATTTTTGCCTTTTACATATAAGAATATGAATACTTGATTTGAGGACCCAATCAATGATTTTTTTTGTAAAATGAAATAAACTAATGAATTTTATATTTTTAAAAGATTTCAAACCCTAATTTATGAAATATTTTAAAATTTCTCATTAATTTTTTTTTTTTTTTTTTTTTGGGGTGGGGTGGGGGGCCAATGATATTTTTTAATGTCACCCATCGACACCCCTTTTCGGGATCAATCTGTTTTGGACCTGACTTACAGCCCATTACTGAATGACAGAGGACTGCAAGCTGCAATCCAATATAAAGGCGTGTGGCCAATTCAAATTACTTGGGCTCACATGAGACTTGTATTTATCCATATATTTCGAAAACTACATTCAACTTCAACCTCACATTTTGTATCATCAATTATCGAAATAGTTAAATCAACCCCCACGGGATTGGCGAAGGTTTGTTCTCTTCCTTAAGTTTTTTGGTTCAAACTTTAGGGTCACCTACCACAATAACATTGTAGCTTACTTGGTCATTTGAGCTTGTAAAGTGTTCAATAGACTTCAGAGATTAGTTAAAGTACGTGTAAACTGGCCCGAACACTCTGGTTAATGAAAAAAATAGTTAAACCCTATGATATTTTTAATGTCACCCATCAACACCGACTTTTCAGGAATCAATCTAGTTTTGGACCTAGACTTATAGCCCATTACTGAATGACTAGAGGACATGCAAGCTGCAATCCAATATAAAAAGGCCCATTGGGGCCAACTCAAATTACTTGGGCTCACATGAGACTTGTATTTATCCATATATTTCAAAAAACTACATTCAACTTCAACCTCACATTTTGTATCATCAATTATCGAAATAGTTAAATCAACCCCCACGGGATTGGCGAAGGTTTGTTCTCTTCCTTAAGTTTTTTGGTTCAAACTTTAGGGTCACGTACCACAATAACATTGTAGCTTACTTGGTCATTTGAGCTTGTAAAGTGTTCAATAGACTTCAGAAATTAGTTAAAGTGCGTGTAAACTGGCCCGAACACTCTGGTTAATGAAAAAAATAGTTAAACCCTATGAGATTGATTATAAATATCAAGCATTTCAACGATTTTGAAGATCAAAGGAGGGTTTTTTAATTAACTCTAAAAATATATAAGAAAGAATTGAGTCAAAACGACGGTATAAACAACGATAAATACTCTTAAGTTAGATAGAAGACAAACCAGTGAAAGGCATTGACAGACATCAGAAAATGGCAAGCTTTTCAAAGGAAAAGAAATTAAGAAAGAAATAAGTGATGTAATGGGTGGCCACATATGTTAAAGCAAAACCAAGAACCAATCTGTTGTTTAGGTTCGGGGCTCAAATGGTGGTCTCTATATGAAAATGCCACAAGAATATTGATGGGACAATAATTAAAAAGCAAGATAAGGATCTCTGTATTCTGTAAATGCAAGCTTGCAGGGCCTCATGGACCCCCACAAGCACAAGCCGTAAGACACAAGTTGGAATTTTCTAACTTCAAAGAAAGAATGTGCTATTTGTATGCAGTCAATTACCACCATACATAGAAATGAGAAAAAGGGTATCAACTTTTTGTCAACAAAAGAAAAAGAAGAAAAGAGGACAAAATCTAAGATAAACCTGTATCTGCAACAAGCACAATGTATGCAACTATTCCAAGCACACCAACAAGACTAGTTGATGCAAATACTACTTTCCAGCACATCACTGAAACTAGCTGATGGCAAAACCTTTGAAGGAGATAATTTTATTAGCATAGTGATGTCTAGTATAACCGGAGTGGTTAGTAAAAATTCTGTTAGGTGAAAGCTCTGTTAGATACAATGTATATAAGTTACCATCAATGATAAATAAGCCAAAACTTAAAAGAAAAGGGAGGAGGCAAAGAATTATAGGATAAAAGGCCAGCTAGATATCAAGATTTAATACTCCAAATTTAGTGTCAAGCATAGATATGTTGCTTGTGAGAGATTGATGTGTGTGTTCAATGTATCTTCTACTGTTCTTATAATAGACAGAGAATATGGCATCTTAACAAGCCAAAAGTTCTTTTTTTTCTTTTAATAACTAAGGTACTGGGCACAAGCACCAGTCGAGCCTATCTAATTTTCAAGGTCATTGAACATCTTATAAACCTAATGAACTNACAGGATTCTGTAATTCCAATTCAACCTACGGTAGTCAATGCAAAGGCTTTTATGTGGCTGAAATGATGGGTTTTAGAATATTCAACATAGCCTAGCGTGGTGGAATTAAACCCAAATTGGGGAATTCAAATCCAGGAACTTGATAATGAGGTTGAGGTTACTCTTCCTACACCTAGAAACTCGGTGTCTCTAGAGCGGAATAAAGAGGTGCAACCTGTCATATCAAGGAAAAATATACTAGAAGTAGATGATACTGCTAGTGATGCTGGAAGCAGCAATAGAAGGAAACTAATCGGATATAAATCTGTACAAATTCCAGTATATGAAGATGAAACTCCAAGCACGAAAATGATGATGATTCATGAAATGCATTGTCATGCGATAGTTCAGGGAACTATTGACACTTGCATTCGTGCTAAACTATGTTTTCCAGAATATATATGAGGAATATACTTTGGATATTCTTGTAGACACAGAAGCAACCAAATGTATTGCAAGGAAGCAATGTTTTCCACAGGAACTTTGGAAATTATTGGAAATACCAATCCTAAATACGGTTGCCAATGGAAGTCAAAGTTTGATCACGGATGTGGTAGAAAACATGGTTGTATTGTTAAACGAGAAAAAATTCACTCTAAGGGAAGTCCTAATAGTAGATTACTTATAGGTAGATTTTATTCTCGGAAATAGCTTTCTGCAAGGTCAAGCAGAAGTTAGGCCATTTACTCAGGATAACGACAATATTATCCTTGGAGGTCATAAAATCCCTATTCTTGCTAAGCCTGAAGTTTCAAAGGTCAGGAATGGTTTTAGACTGGTAAAACTAAGGCAAAAAGTAGATCACATTATTTTCCAAATTTTGGAAAAGGAAAAATGGTGGTTGAAAACTTTTGAAGTAGAAGGAGCGGATGAGGCTTGTAATGTTTTCTTTCAAAGATTATATCCTAGTTATTATATAGACCGGATCGCATGAGATATATCACAGGAGGATGAACCCTCTGGTGCATGTCTTAAGAGCACGGATAAATTCACGCCTAAGGAAAAAAATCTTGAAGGTTGAAAACAAGAGCCAAAAGAACTCTTTAAGGATTGAGGAACTTGTAAAATCCTTTAAAGAGGAACTTTCTCCATGCTTTAATGATCAACCATTAAAGTTATGGCAAATGAACGGTATATATGCTTCGCTTGAATTAAGGAAGAAGGATCATACGATTACTACCAAATCCTATCCTTATACACCTGATGCAGAGGAGGAATTTAGTAAGCAAATATCGGAATTGCTGGAAAAGCAATTGATACGTGCCAGTAAAAGTCCACACTCTTCGCCAACATTCATGGTTATGAATAGAGTTGAGCAGGAAAGAGGTAAAGCGCGGATGGTTATCGATTATAGGCAGTTGAATGAGAAAACCATTGATGATACCTATAAGAGACCAAATAAATCAACTTGTTTGAATAAAGCTAGGTTTGGAAAAATCTTCTTCAAATTCGATATAAAGTCAGGATTCTGGAAGATCAGAATGGCGGAGTCAAGCATTCCTTTGACGGCTTTCACCTGTCTGAAAGGATTATTTAAATGGATGATTCTACCTTTTGGACTTAAGCAGGCACCATCAATATTCCAGAGGATTATGGATACAGTTTTTGGAGACTTATCTAACTTTTGTGTAGTCTATATTGATGATGTTTTGGTTTTTAGTAAAACCAAGGAAGAACATGTAAATCATCTTAGACTGGTAAGCAAAAGGTTCCTTGATAATG